TTCCATCTTTCCTTCGGAGTCCAAACTACAGCAAGTCTCATTTTATTGGCCTTGGCCTTATTATGCTTTGCAGATATCACACTTTTTACAAATTGAAAATTTGTGGCAACCCTGTGTCTAGTAAGTCTGTCAGCACTATTTTTCCAAAAGCATGTGCTCATTTTGTGTCCCTGTGTCACACTTTGGTAATTCTCACTGATATGGTTCAGCCCTGTGTCCCCAACTAAATCTCATGTCTAATTGTAATCCCCACATGTCAGGAGAGGGACCTAGTGAGAGGTGATTGGATCATGGGGGCAGATTTTCCCCAGACTGTTCTCGTGATAGTGAGTTCTCAAGGGATCTGATGGTTTAAAAGTGTGGCACTTCCCCCCTCGCTTACTCTCTCTCTCTTGTTGCTGTGGTAAGAAGTACTTGCTTCCTCGTTGCCTTCTCCCATGATTTTAAGTTTCCTGAGGCCTCCCAGTCATGCTTCCTCTTAAGCCTGCAGAACTATGAGTCAATTAAACCTCTTTTCTTCATAAATTACCCAGTCTCAGGTAGTTCTTCATAGCAGATTGAAAAAGAACTAATACACTCATAATATCTCAAATAGTATTGTATCTGTCATGGTGATCTGTTATCAGTGGTCTTTGGTGTTAATATAGTAACTCCTTTAATTAATGTGTTAATATGGTAACTGTCACCATGAACCACACCCAAATAAGATGGCAAACTTAATTGATGAATGTTGTGTGTGTTCTGACTACCCTGGACTGACCATTCCACATCTCTCTCTCTCTATTCTCTGGCCTCTCTATTCCCTGAGACATAACACTATTGAAATTAGGCCAATTAATAATTCTGCAATGACCTCTAAGTGTTCAAATGAAAGGAAGAGCTGCATATCTCTCTTTAAATAAAAAGCTAGAAAAGATTAAGTTTAGTGAGGAAGGCATGTCAAAAGCCATGAGAGGATGAAAACTAGACCTCTTGTGCCAGTTAGCCAAGTTCTGAATACAAAGGTAGCATTCCCAAAGAAAAGTAAAAGTGCTACTCCAGTGAATACGCAAGTGATAAGAAAGCAACACAGCCTTATTGCAGATGGAGAAAGTTTTAGTGATTTGGATAAAAGACCAAATTGGGCATAACATTCTCTTAAACCAAAGCCTAACCCAGGGCAAAGTCCTAACTTTCTTCAATTCTGTGAAGATTGAGAGAGGTAAGAAATGTCAAAATAAAAGTTTGAAGCTAGTAGAGCTTCGTTGATGAGGTTTAAGAAAAAGCCATCTTAATGACATAAAAGTGCAAGGTGAAGAAGAAAGTGCTGTTACAGAAGCTGTAGCATCTACAAATTATTTAGAACATCTAGATAAGGTAATTGTTAAATGTGGCTACATTAAACAGCAGATTTTTAACACAGAAAAAACAGACTTGGAAGAGGAAGCCATCTAGGACTTCCATAGCTAGAAAGGAGAAATCAATGCCTGAGTTCAGTGCTTCAAAGGACAGGCTGACTCTCTTGTTAGGGACTAACACAGCTGGTGACATGAAGTTGAAGCCAACACTCATTTATTATTTCAAAAATCCTAGAAGAAGGCCAAATTTACTGTGCCTGTGCTCTATAAATGGAACAACAAAGACTGCATGAAAGCACAATAGTTTATAGTGTGGTTTACTGAATATTTTAAGCCCACTGTTGAGACCTACTGCCAGAAAAAAAAGAAGATTCCTTTCAAAACATTATTATAGGCAATGTGCCTAGACACTCAAGAGCTCTGAAAAAGTTGTAAAAGAAGACTAACATTGTTTCCATGCCTGGTAACACAACCTCCATTCTGCAGCTCATGGATCAATGAGTAATTCTGACACTCAAGCTGTTTTATTTAAGAAGCACATTTTGTAAAGCTCTAACTCCTATAGATAGTGATACCTCTGATGAATGTGGACAAAGTAAATTAAAAACCTTCTGGAAAGGATTGACCATTCTAGATTCTATGAAAAACATACATGATTCATGAGAGGAGGGCAAAATACCAACATTAAAAGGAGTTTGGAAGAAGTTTATTCCAACCCTGATGGATTATTTTGAGGAGTTCGAGACTTCAGGGGAAGAAGTAATTGCAGATGTGGTGGAAATAGCAAGAGAACTAGAATTAGAAGTGGAATTTGATGATCCTGGATTGCTGTAATTTCATTATAAAACTTGAATGGATTTTTTCTTTGCTCATCTTATTGATGAGCAAAGAAGTTGGTTTATTGAAATAAAATCTACTCCCGCTGAAGATAGTGTGAACATTTCTGAAATGCTGACAAAGGACTTAGATTATTGTATCAATTTAGTTGATAAAAAGTAGCAGGGTTTCAGAGGATTGATTCCAATTTTGAAAGAATTTCTACTGTGCATAAAATGCTATCTATCAAACAGCATCAAATGCTACAGAGAAATCTTCCATGAAAGGAAGAGTCAATTGATGTGAGAAACTTCATTGTCTTATTTTTTAAATTTTTCACGCCACGCCAACTTTAGGAATCATCACCCTGATTAGTCAGCAGCCATCCACGTGAGGCAAGATCCTTCACTGGTAAAAATATGATTCATTGAAGGCTCAGATGATTATTAGTATTTTATAGCAATAAAGTACTTTTAAACTAAGATATGCAAATTAATTTTTCTTAGACATAATGCTTTTGCACAATAGGCTACAATATAGTGTACATATAACTTTTATATGCACTGGGGAGTCAAAAACTTTCTGTTACTTTATTGTGGTGCTCTGGAACTGAGCCCACAATATCTCTGAGGTATGCCTGCATATAAGTTGGTGAAACTGCACCTTCTCGTGGCTAACCTAATAATTGAATCTACAACATGAGGCTTCCCTTTCATGCAGGTCTATCACTATCTTCTGTGCCACTGTGGCATGAATTAGATAAAGGTCACCCTTCCTGTGGAAGAAAAATCCCTACATCAGAATATGACCTGAAGAGGGGAGTTTAGGTTAGATTTCATTATCAGGTGTGTGTCATTGTACAGTAAACATCTTGGACAAAACTTTGTAATAGTCCTTATTCCTTTTCAGAGTTCTGGAGTACAAAGCAGCCACAAAATTAAGAGTCTCAGGTCTCATATGCTTTCTATTCCTGGTTAACAACAATATTCATCCATAATAATCCATAGTTAGAAGAGCCTTAAGAAGAAAATTATGAAACCAGGCTGGTTGATGGAAATAGTTGAAAAAAGAAACGACTGCATTTTACTTTTTTGTATTCCCTCTGTCCATTACTAGAAAATAAATTCCACAGAATCTTTTATTCTTTCTCTGGCGTAATGGTTCTCAACTTTGGTTGAATATTGGAATTACCTGGAGAACCTTGAAAACTCTTAATCATCAGGCTCTATTCGAGACCAGTGAGATCAAAAACTAAGAGGACAAAACCTAAGCATCTGTATTTTTTAAGTGCTTCAGGTAATAGCCATGAGCAAAGCTGAGAACCACTGAAGATTTGAATCATTGGGAGGTGGTGTAAGAATAAAACTGTGCGATCTTCTTCCTTTCTTGGATCACATCTCACCATAATGAGCTTGTGTGACTCAAGTTATTTATTTATAACATAACAGATCTATCTTATCATTTCAAAAAGTTTAACTATAGAACTTAAGTCATTTAAGTCCCTCTCTTCAAGGTTTTCAAATGGCTAAATGCACAATGTTGGTAATCAATTATAAAATGTATGATAGATAGTATATTTCTTTTTCCTAGAAAGTTCTTTCTAAACAGCAGCAAATGAACATTACCTGGGTATGAAAGAGCAGGTTTCCATAACATAAATGTTACTGAATAAATTATTAGGCCTCAATTAGCCTTTTTAAAACAATTAACTATAATAATTACCAAAAGGAAAAAAGAAAGTTTTACAACCTACAGTTTCCATCAAGAAATAACTATTTAATAATTCACAAACAATCAATATGCAGAAAATATAATGGTATAGATAACAATGTCATGACTAGGCTACAGCACTACCATAGTGTATCAGTAAACCACAGTTAACAGAACAAATATTTTTGGCTGTGGACAGGTAGGTTCTCCTAACACAAATTAATCTCCTTAATGGATTTTCCTTACCTTCATGAAAAATACATTATGGGCTTTTAAGTCACACTCAACACACTGTTAGGGTTTTTTTATGATGTGGGGTTGGCACAAAGATGATTTTTCTTTCACACTGTGGGTAAAAAAACAATGAGCTGGGTGGTTTGGAGCCAGACTATTTAATCACTAGGTAAAGACTGATTACCCAGAGAAGCTGCATATTCTTAAACACCCTCTTTCTGTAAGAGATTCTTAAATTTTCTTGAGAGGTAGAAAAAAGAAATTGCATTGTGGGGCTTAACATTTGTGAAATTTTCAAAGTGTCAAAAAACGGTTCCAGTGGGCCTCCTTATTAATTGCTTTGATTTTCTTAAAAGCCAACCAAAGGAAAATTGTCCTGACACACTTGAAAATGCCTCTGCTCATGCCCAACCTTTCTCCTGTCTGAGTATTCAATGCAGTGAGGGTAACTTGGAATGCAAACAAAAGTTGACTGTGGCCAGAAAGGCACAGCACACTTCCAACATTATAATTGTTTTGAAGCATCATTATATCTAAGCATTATTTTTAAGCGTGTGCTATTTCATAATATAGATTTTTAATGTGGATGAACATTCATCTCGGACTGAATACCCAATCTAACTATGTCATATGCGTTAAGTAGCTACATTAATGCTGCTTCAGGTACATCAAGATAGGCGAAGGAATTTCCATTGCTGTGCCCTTTAACGAGTTTAATTAGACACTGCAAGCCATAAGAGTCTGGTAAGAATTTTTAGAGGGCAGATGTGTGGCATTCATGATACCATCCACAGTTTTATGGTAGAACATGCCTTGCCTTTTTTTTTTTTTTTTTCAGTTTCCTCAGTTTCAGTTGTGTAAAATTGTTTTGAAACCACTGAGTTTTTATTTTCTTTTAAGCAGAGGTCAACAATCAGCCTTCAGATGGTTCAAATTAGTCAACATAGATCAGAGCTGAACCCCTGCCCTACAAGTGAACATAACTTCTCCTGTGAGAAATCACCTGGCAGCGGGCTACAAGGTGAGAGAATCGTTACGGCTGCGGAGAGCATTGCTCTTTGAAATGGCAGGAATCACACTGAGTTTGCAGCACAGGATCTTTCAGTAAATATTGCTACTACCTAGTGGTGCTCCTTCTCAGTAGTTGGATTTAGGACATTGGTAATCATCTCAGGGATTTACTGTATCCCAGAATTTTAGGCAAAATGTTTTCTAAATAAATCACATGAAGAAAATGTATGACCTAGATGTTTAGGATTGTCAGCCTGTAACTTTTGTGATGATTATATTTCATCATAAAACCAAGTGCAGAAGAGTTAGATGGGCATTTCAAAATTTTATGAGAATTTAACTAAGTAAAAGAATTGAGACAATCATATTCAAATTCAAGAGGCAATTCAAATTATGGCCGAGAACCACTGCTGTGACTATTGTGTCTTAGAGTAATTTATATTAGCTATATAATGCTGGAACTATTTTTTTCAATTAACTGTCTGCAGCATCCTATGAATTTTCAGTTTATCATGAACTCTAAACTCATGAAAAATCTAACGTGTACTACTACCTTAATTTCCCAAACTTCACAGTAACTTTTCTAGTATAGAGGCTAAAAGTCAATGCTCCTTTTTACAGTACAGTTAGTAAAATATTTTATCTCCCAAACACCAGTTTAATCATTGCCTATTTCACTTTCCAAACACTTTCATTCCAAATGAATATATTAAAATCTAGAAAACAAATAAGCCTTTTTTCCCTTTGCTTCATTCTAATCTAATGTTAATAAAACAATAAATTATATCAAAAGTTAGGTCACGTAAATCTCTTTCTTAAATTTAAACAGAACAAACAAACAAACATTTCCAGGATTCTTCATTGCATTAGTAAAAATCCAACTCTTTTTTTTTTTTTTTTTTTTTTTTTGAGACGGAGTCTCGCTCTGTCACCCAGGCTGGAGTGCAGTGGCCGGATCTCAGCTCACTGCAAGCTCCGCCTCCCGGGTTCACGCCATTCTCCCGCTACAGCCTCCCCAGTAGCTGGGACTACAGGCGCCCGCCACCTCGCCCGGCTAGCTTTTTGTATTTTTTAGCAGAGACGGGGTTTCACCGGGTTAGCCAGAATGGTCTGGATCTCCTGACCTCATGATCCGCCCGTCTCGGCCTCCCAAAGTGCTAGGATTACAGGCTTGAGCCACCGCGCCAGGCAAAAATCCAACTCTTACTGCAAGAGCCTGAACAAGTTAGAACTGATGTCTGCCTCACTCATGAAGCTCTGCCACTGTTCACTTTTCAATCACAGATCACTGGCCATTATAGTAGTTTGAATAATGGTCCCCAAATAAGTCCATATCCAAATCCCAGGGACCTGTGAGTGTACTACCTTACATGTGAAAGGGACTTTGCAGATGTGATTAAGGATCTTGAGATAGGAAATTATTCTGGATTATCCAGTTGGACCTAATATAAAAACATTTAGTATTCTAAGAGAGATGGAGGAGTATTAGAGTCAGAGAGAAATATAAACATGGAAGCAGAGATCAGAGAGAAGGCTTGATCTCTGCTGACTTTGGAGATGGAGTCAGGTGCCTTGAGCCCAGGATTACAGGTGGTTTCTAGGAGCTGGAAAAGGCAGGGAGATAGATTCTCCCCTAGAGCCTTCAGAAGGAATGCAGGCCTACTGACACCGTGATTTTAGCTCAGTAAAACAGATTTTGGACTTATGACCTGCAGAAATGTAAAATAATAAAGTAGTGTCATTTTAAGCCCCTAAATTCATTGTAAACTGTTAAAGCAGCAATAGGAAATGTAGATAGACACATTGCTCTCTTTCATTTGCTGGCATACACAAACCTCCTCCATAACTCAGAGATTTGCTGTGTCTCCACAGTGGAAGATGTGTGAAGGACAGTCTCTAGGTCTTCTTCACTCTGGTCTTCTGGATAAATGAGGCACCGAATAAATATTTGTTGAATAGTGAATGATCAGATTAGAATCCGGGAAGGTGAACGTATTTACTTGGGGAATGGTTTAGGAGTATGACTTTTGTTGTTTTACTTAGGATTGTTAATGTATAAGCAAGATACTAGGAAGTACCCACAGTATATGATTCTTGGAGGTTTTTTTCAGCTTTATCTCCTTGCTCTGTTTTTACACAGAATGCCCTTTACTGAAGTAATATAGAAAGGAAGTGATGAAAGCAAAAGGATATAAATCGTTCACTTTATTGGTAAGTGCTAATTAAGTCATGGATTACTTCAAACATGACCAACCCACCGATACTACTAACCATATTATCACCAACTGCTGAACTCTCAGGGGATTTGAGTGATTATTATACAACCAGATATACATTTGATGAGGGAAAATATTTGATATGGTTTGGCTGTGTCCCTACCCGAATCTCATCTTGAATTATAGTTTCCATAATCCTCACATGCCATGAGAGGGACCTGGTGGGAGGTAATTGAATCATGGGGGTGGTTGCCCTCATGCTGTTCTCTTGAGAGTGAATGAATTCTCATGTGATCTGGTTGTTTTATTAGGGGCTTTCCCCCGTTTGCTCAGCACTTTTCTCTCCAGCTGCCATTTGGAGAAGGTCATGTTTGATTCCCCTTCTGCCATGAATGTAAGTTTCCTGAGGCCTTCCCAGTCATGCAGAAGTGTGAGTCAGTTAAACCTCTTTTCTTTATAAATTGCCCAATCTTGGGGACTTTTTCATAGCACTGTGAGAACAGACTAACACAATATTACAAGGAGGAATTGTTTAATACTTTTGTAGGTGTTACAAATTGATCTTAGTGGGGCGTTTTTTGACCAACTGACCAACTTGTGCCAAGGGTCTTCTCTTATACTTACTTCTACAACAGTCAATTAGATTAATTACATCTGATCCAATCACTTCCTATTCTTCAATTAGTTTCAGCAAACAATATTACTGCCTGTCTTATTGCTTTTTTATTCAAAATTGTTCGTAGCAACCTTGCTGGCAGGTACTAAGAAGGTAATGAATTTGAGCTTGTCTTATTTTGCAGAACATGTGTTAACATATCCAAATATGAGCACCATATAAAAATGCACATGATGTTTTTCTGGGCAAAACATTAGGAAGAGCCAGGCTTTTGGATGTTGCTTTTTTTAAAAAAAAAAATAACTTGACATCTAATTTTCATTTGTTGTTACTTTTTAAACTATGATTTTATAGATTCATTTGGTTATTTTTAAAATGTGGGCTATATTTGTTCAAATAAAATATTTCAACATTTTAATATATTTCAGCGATGTATAAATATAGTGAAGGCACATTATGCCTGGTTTAAATGTGTAAGTTTTTTTCTTTCACAATAATGTATGAAAAATATTTCATTTCTTGAAAGAATTGCTTTTATATTGACTTGAGTTTTTACAAAAAAATCTGTGTTTGTCTAGCTTTAAAATCTTTTGTACTTCTTAAAGTGAGACTATTTCTTATTAATAAAGTAAAAGCTAGGAATCATTTACTCTAGATTATTTAGGAAAACTGCTATGAAATGTAAAATTCCAGAACCTCTTTTTACTTGATGTAGTTTTGCAAAGAAAACAATTTTACCAAAACTTCCCACCTAAAAACAAAATGCTATGTCTTTAGATATATTCTATCAAGAAATCATGGGGACTTACATTGATTTCTTGATAAGGGAAAATTAATATAAGTCAAAAATAAACAAGCAACAAGAAAATCTTAAATCCAGACTTTTGTAACTAATTAGGGTAATGATAAAGGAAAATGAGTAAATGTTTTCTTTGAATAGCTTAATGTGAGTCACAGGAAAAAAAAGACCTATTCTACTATTGAAGAAAAGTACTCATCTACAAAAAATTGTAATGGAAAAACTTCTGCTGAGCAGGCTAGGAATGGATATCCCCTAGGACCCAGTACAGTTAATGGGTTTTTAGTTCTGTTCTAAATGTTTTCGTTTTCAATTCTCAATCAGTGTTGTGCAAAATGTCAGGTTTTCTTCAACTTTCTTTTCTTCCTCCTTGGAAACTCTTACCCTTTGTCAATTGTTTAGAGGCAGAAAAGATTACAGTTCTGTACAAGAAGTCCAGGTTAGTTGAAGATACTAGAATTCAAACCCTGCAAAGATTATACCAAATGTATATGTATGCATTTTTAAACTACCTAGTTTGCTCCCAATCTGTAAAATTTCAACAGACTCAAATTATATCTGTGCCTTGGAAATAAAATAGGTGATTAATTAGCCATTAAAGTAGGAGAATCAAAAGATCAGCTGACATAAGAATTAAATTGCCTTTTATCCCAAGAACTACACTTTTAAAAAACCTAGTTACAGAATGATTAATCATGAAGTGACTCTTCTGGGGAAACTTTGTTCTGAGTCTTTTAGTTTTGCTAACTTAATGTCTCTGATTTTTTAAATAACACAATAAATTAGCTAACAAATTATATTCTATTTATTTATATTTATATAAATTTATATAAATATATATTATAGATTTATGTTTATATATAATATACTTATATTTATATATAAATATATACTTATATTTATAATATATAATATATAATTTATACATAATATATATTTATAAATATATATTTATAAATATACATATTTATATAAATATAGCACATTTATATTTGCTATCAGATTATCTGGTGCATTGCTGATTGCTCTGCCTTTCAGTGAGAGTCACTGGGGAAATTTATATCTCACCAAAAGAAAATTCTGTAATTTTGATTCTGTTACTGATGATAAAACTGAGCAATATGAGAAACAGGAGAAAACTCAAAAGTCTGCAAGGGACCGTCAGTCACTTGGTTTGTCTGAATTAATTGTTATCTTCAGACAACCAGTTTGTGTTGCTCTAGCCTGAGTTTACTTACTAAATTTAGAAGTAGTCTCAAGCATTATTACTGCATATGCAACATAGACAGCTAATTACTGTCTGTTGAATATTTTAATATGTTCTGCTATAATACATTTTTTAATGATAGACAATAAATTTAATTTGTATTACAGGAAGAAGGAGAATCTACACACTGGTGTTTCTTAATTGTTGCCAAAGGAAACCTAACAAAAACTCATGGATTCAATGGGAGTATTAATAAGCCAATCAACAGATGGCTAATTGTACCACTGAAAAATGCAAATAAATTAATTCTCACTTGCTCTCATCTATTGGGAGATAAAAGTAGAATTATTACTTTCTATCTCAATATATTTGTATAATTTATATGTCAAGATATTTTAGTGAAATAATCTGAAGTAATAAAAGAGTATAAAGGATTATTCTAAAATTGTGATACCACAAAGCATCTCCATTCTGATACAGTTCTAATAACATCTTACATTATTAAACTTGAAATTCAGACCTAATTAAATCTTTGTTTTATTAGCTTATTTGCAACAATGAGGTTACAATAGGCATGCTATAGTAACAAATCATTCCAAGATCTCAATGGCTTTTAAACAAGGAAGGTTTCTTTGTCACTCATGTTCATGCCCATTGCAGCTCTGCTCCACATCCTCATCATTCCAATACCCCATTGGAAGGGGGAAGCCTCTACTAAAGTGGTTCTGATGGCAAAGAGAAAGTAATGATGGAGCATCTAGAGGAGGCTCTGAAAATATTTGCTCAGAAGTGTCACATATTACTTCCATACACATTTAACTGGCTAAAGAAATTCACATGGCCAAACTTGATGTCAGTGAGATAAGAAGTAACATTTCCCTACAGGAATAGTTTGTGCAAGAAAGTATAGCAAAAATTTGTATTATAATGTGGTCAATTCCATAAGCGTTTTTCTAAAACCAATTTATAAAACGTTTCCCCCAATCCTGAAACAAATTTCATAAGAAGTTCAGAAAAATTTTGAGTAAACATGGCAAAAAAATTAGAAAATATTATAGTAGGTTATGAAAAAATACTGTCAAATATTTATGACCCTTAATCTGGCTTAAAGTCATAAGAAACTGACATTATCATTCTAATGCTTTCCATAAGATTGAGTGTAAGAATAGATATTTTTGTTAAACTATTACTCTGCTTGCAGCTCTGGTCTAATACTTATATGACTACATTTAGAAGAGTGTAATGAGCGTCAGTTCACTTCCTATTCTGATTTTTTTTCTTCAGTCACATTGATAAATACATGGATAAATTATATAAATAAGTATATTTAATTTTGTATAAATGAATGCATTTATAAATGGGGAAATGGAATAGTTGCCCCAATATTGCACATAAATAGGTAGTAATAAGAAGTGTTTATATTAAACCCACGTCTTAATTCTAGGATGGACTCCTTTAGATCATTGGCAATATTTTAAGAGCATCTCACTGTTTGCTAAATACAAATACCAAAGCAATGTTAGCACGAAAAAGACATTGCTCCAACTATGAAGTCATCCATAGAGCCTGCAAATTTGTCACTCAACACAATGAATACTAGGAATGAAACTCCAAAATCGAGAACTGGGGCTGGCAACCTGCTATTGCTAAAGTTAGGACATGGCTCCAGGAGCTCATTCCCAGTGCCTGAGGGAAATGTTTTTGAGTCTTTAAACTCAGAAGAAGAAGAGTAAAATTTATGTGTGTTTTAACTGACATGTCATGTGCAACAATGTTTAATACTTGAGTAAATCTTCATCTCTGTATCATATCCTATCTCTATCTGCTTTATTTCTTGTTTGAGGATACTAGACCCTAATGATCCATAGTCCCTAGCCAAAAAGAGAGAAAAATACAATAATTACACTTCAAAATACATTCTTCCTTTTGTATTGTGGGACCAAAAATCCAAAATAGGAAAATATAATGTATTACTTTGAAGCAAATTCTAATTTGATGTCTTAAATTATTGTCTTTTCAACTAAGAAATAATTTAAATAGCCTTCAGACAGATTTGGAAGAAAGAATCTACATGTGCAAGAATTGAGTGCTGAAAATAAGGCACCTGTGACTTAATCTTAACTCTATTTGTATTTTGCATTACTGGCTACATATGTGCTTTCATGTATTCTATATAACTATGTCTGTCAGTCATTGGGAGGATTGAAGACACAGTAATTCAGAAAACTGAACAACTTACTGTAGTGGCAAAGAACTTTTTAAAGGAAGGTGAGAATAAAACAGAAATTCAAGGTGAGGGTTACTCTAACCCTAGCCAAGAGAGCACACCTTCAGCCTCCCGAGTCCACACACAGAACACACACACACACACACACAGAACACCCTCCCCTCACACACAGAACACACACAGAATACACACAGACACAGAACACACACACAGAACACACCCACACAGAACACATACACACACACACACACACACACACACACACAAAAAGAGAAGTTTCAACAGTAGAAGCGCTGACATTTTTTGTTAATGTGTTTTCGATATTGTGTTTCAAATGTCATTTGAACCAAGTGTTCTCTTTTTTCTTTCCTGTCAGTGGGCTTTTCAGGTGTAGTTATAATTATTTTGAAATGTCAGTGGACTAAACTATGCTCAGTAGGAAATAAGAATAAAAGAAATAAACACATTAATTCCATATGCAATCTAATAATGAAAGGAGAAAGGAGAATTGTAGTATACTATTTTACTATCATTATAAGAATTAACAGAAGATAAATGCTTCTTTGTATCAAAAAAATTTCAGCTTCCACTGATGTTAGTATAAGATGATGACTTTTTAGATTATCAGATATTGGGCACAAGAAAGTTTAGGATTTTATAACAATACAGCTCTCTAAATAAGCTATGCTGTGTAATAAACTGACCCCTTTTTAAGCATTTTATTATTCGCAATGAAAAAAGATAAGCAATAAAAATATATGCACATTATTCCCCTAAACAGGAGCAATCATTCTCCCAGAGACCATATGATGTTTTATAAACCTAGCACCTGATAAAGATAATAAATTGACTGCTCTAGAAACCATTGTGTTAACTGAACTGCCTTGTCATTTCTGCCTGAAGTGCAACTTTTCTAGCTGCAAATGGCAAGGGAAAATAATCAATATAAGAGAAATCTTAGCTTTAAAAAGGTAAAACAATGCAAATGCAATGCCTTTCTGAAAAGAATATACTTTCAAATAGAAATACCTGAAAATTTGAATTCATTACCTCAATTCCAGTGAACAATATGTCTCAGGTACTCATATTATACTCTAAACATAAATTCCTGAGCTTGTCCATTTAGAACCTTATATATGAACTGCCTTTGACACTCATGTGATATCAGAAAGGTCTTTCAAATTCATTTGCCTCTTCTCTGGAGTAAAGTTTTTATACTGTTATACCAAGGGTATTAAAGGATTAGTTTGGTATCTTTCCAATTCATTTGACTGGAGGCCAAATCAGATTCTACTAGTCTGAAAATAGAATTCCTGGCCTCAGGATTAAAATCATTACAGGTGCTTACTAAATGTTTCAAGAAAAATGATCAGCTTCGTCCTCCTCATTGCTAATGGAGCTGATTATGTGGAAGGCACATTATGTTTTAAGAACTTCATGTAAATCAGTCCAGTTAATCTCCATACCATCCTATGAGGTAGATATTATCATCATCGTTATGTCCATGAAGGAATAGCAAATAGAATGTAATGACATAAGCATATTGATTCAGAATCCACACTCTAAGTAAAGAGAAGTGGAGGATAAGAACCAGATACAGAAGACATGTTGTGGGGAGACATAGCAAAGATATAACATGGTATACACTGTAGGCAAAAGTTAAAGGACCTAGTAAGCAAGAGAAAACCATGACAGCTTTAAAGTTATTGATATACTTAGTAGAAAAGTTGACTGAACTCAGAGACCAGAGTTTAAATTCCAGTTCTACTCTTCATTTGTTATATAACTTTGAACAAGACCCTAAACTTCTTCATATGTAAATCATAGAGTAAAATTATTACTTCTTATAATTGTGAGACTTAAACAAAACCAACTAATTGAGTTAAGTAGAATAATGCTTATAAGACGCTTAGCATGGTCTGAGTATTTTCTCTGTACACTGCTTTCTGATGTCTCATATGGTTTGGTTGTGTACTCACCCAATTCTCACTTTGAATTGTAGCTCCCATAATTCCCACGTGTTGTGGAGGGGACCCAGTGGGAGGTAATTGAATCATGAGGGTGTGTCTTTCCTGTATTGTTCTCGTGATAGTGAATAAGTCTCATGAGATCTGATGGTTTTATAAAGGGGAGTTCCCCTGCACATGCTCTCTCCTGCCTACCAGAATGTCCCTTTGCCCTTCCCTCATCTTCCGCCATGATTGTGAGGCCTCCCTAGCCATGTGGAATTGTAAGTCCATTAAACCTCTTTCCTTTATAAATTACCAAGTCTCAGGTATGTCTTTATTAGCCTCATGAGAACGAACTCATACAATGTCATATTTTCTTTATAACTTCTTTAATATTGGTTCCTAATTTTCAATAACATGCACTACTGTCAGATTAACATTTCATTATTTTGGGTATAATCATTCCTGGCTCAATATCCCTTAAGTGCCTGCAGCTTAACATCAAAGATATCACCTTGGCATTCCACCTTTTTCACATTTTATTGTGATATAGCGGAAAGAACCCTGCATGTAGGGTTAGTGGGTATATTTAAAGGAAAGCATTAAGAACTTCACCAGCTATTCACTGTTACTTTGTGACTTTGAGTAAGTCTCTTTTAGTTTATGTTTTCCTTTCTGTAAAATGTGTTAATTACTTTTATGTGATCAACTTCACAGATGTGATATAATGTTCAAATTAGATAACTCACCTGAAAACTCTTTGAAAGCTGAAGAAGAGATATACAAGTGTTAGGTAGTAATGGAAAAAAAGAATGAGCTTTTATATCTAGCACAACCCCAATTTAAATTCTGCCCTTGGCCCTTACCAGCCTTGTGGAAGTCACTGACTGATTCTCAGTATTTATAACTAGAATTGGGAAGAATAATATTTACTTTCAAAAAATAAAATCTTACTGCTGAATATTGATCCTTTGGTTTTTGGTGGAAGTTTATCTTATCTATAAATCTGTAGATTGCCCCTAGGACTTGGACATTGTTTTATATTAATGTCATTTTCATATATTTCTCCATGCCTAACACCAGCCAACATACAATATTTGCAACACAAACAAGGAAAAATAGTGAAGATTAGTGATTATTATTCCT